TATTCCACTTCACTTCCTGTTCTGGACAGGAAGTAAGAGTAAAAATCCCTCCAGTGAGTGAAGGCAAAACCCCTCTTCAATGTCACAGGTCCACATTGGAAGATTTGCCCTCACCTCCTGTTTTGGTGACCCCCCTGCAAAAGTTTGGCTTTCCCATCAACAAATAGGGAGGGTGAATCTCCTTAGTGGCGACACAGACTGCTGGTAAAGCCTTGAATCCAAAAGGCTTTGAAGTTCATTTGTTCAAGGAAACCTCAAACTTCAACGCGCTCTCTGGTTCTGGTGAGGTGGCCCACTGACCGCTTGGTGGACCCATAATGTGACTCGAAGGAGAAAAACACAAAAGGAGAAACCAAAGCAAATGGTGAAGGAGTCCAATCTGTTATAACAATGAATATTATGCTCACATAGAACAGCCATCACACTTGGGGGGCCTCCTTCATCTGGGCATGGAAAGGGTAGGAGGGCTTAATGGACTTAGCCGAATAGATGTGTATTAGATCTAGTTCATTTCCTCATATGGGTGTCCTAATATTGACAGCAGGAGTTGGCCAAAATTCGAGCCGTGTACGGCCTGCTTAACTCTTAATGGAGCTGTAATGGCATCTTACTTCCTCCAGTTGTTGACGGTGAGAATGGACAATGCTTCTTTTGTCACTCAAAGTGGTCTCCAGCCATTAGGGGGTATCACAACATGACATGAATAGGACACAACAAGGGTGTGATGACCCTCTTTGTGTTTGGCATACATACAATCGGTTCTCTAATTAGGCCGAGAACTAAGAATGATTAGCCAGCTGAGAGTCTTTGTTGAGGGGCCCTAAAAAAGTTTGAGTAAGGAAGGGAATTGATGATAAATAAGGAAATTGTTCAGCAGACTTTATGGCTACTTAATTGCCTTATTTACCATCAATTTTCTTTCATGCATTATTATCACAGCTGAGTCTTTTAATGGAAAGTGCCTATAGAAGTATCTTCATGGCGGGAACAACAGGGTTTAATGGGTTTTACAGCAGGCGATCACTTGGCTTCTCTCAGCCAGTGGTGCATGCTGGGAGAGTGTACATATATTGGTGGGAGTTGCCATGTGCTCTCTCTCTCGCCGGGACCAGCCATGGATTAGGGCTGGGTCCTGTTCAGCCTGCCCCCACCCAGGCTAGGCCGAGGCCTGGGGGTGGGCATGGGCTGGAGTGAGAGAAAAGGTTTCCCTGAGGCTTACAACATGGAGGAGGCCTGAGAGACTAAAAGAGGAAGAGAACCGGGACCAGTGCAGGCTCTTTAAGTGCCCTGGAACTAAGTGGACTTCAGGAGCATGGTCGGTATCTTTCCTGTGAGGATCTGCACCCATCCTGACTGTCTGTCACATCAGTGGCTATCTGATGTCGCCCAGGTGGATCTGCATTGATATTCCTACAAGGTCCGGTCAGGCTGGAGCTTCTGATGGTTACCCCTGGACACATAGAACCCCTATACCCTCTCTCCCAAAGTGGATGTTCAATAAATCGTTTACTTAGCATCTTACTATTGAGTGGACATCAGTTTATGGGCACCAGAAGTGGGTGGTTAGAGCTAATGGGTGGGCAGCTGAAGATCATCCCCCAGACCGACTAGAAGTGAACCGGGCATCGGCGGCTCCTCCGGGAGTTATCGCTACACTTAAGATTGGGTTTTAATCTACTTCACGATAACGCTTTGTGAAAGTTTGGGAAGATTAAAATAAAGCTTGGTCATTAAAGTTGGCCAGATAAAGAGCAGAGAGTGGGTTATGGAATGAGAGGGGGTGAAGACTCTACTCCAACTCATTACAAAACCCACTCAAGCCAAGGGTGGGCCTTGTTTGTGCCTCCTCTGTCCAGTGCTGTCATGTCCGGAGAGGGTGGAGGGGATCACGCTGAAGTTATCAGAGAATATCTGCAAGGTTGGACATTACTCACTGGTTGATCTTGGCTCTGGTGGTGAGGATGAAAGATATGATGGCAGAGGGAGGGTCGAGGACAAGCTCGGTCAGGAGATGCTACCATTTGGACCACAGCAAAAGAAAATATCTGTGTGGATGGATCAAGTTCAACGTACCTGCTGATATCAAGTGAGCTTGGAAGTTTTAGCCTCCGATGCTCCATCTCCTTCTTTGGTAATTGTGACATACAATAGATGTGATTGTAGTATGGCCAACATTTGATAGACACCTGATCATCATACCTACCTATATGGTCAAATGTACTGTATGTGGACATTTGGACCATATGAGGACTAAGGTGTCTCCAATGAAAGGTTCTATTAATGCTACATCATAGAAAGACATTGTAGACCAAGGTGCCCCCTCCCCCCCTATTTATTTCAAATTGCAAAAGCCAATAGCAGGCTGGCTATCGCACCCGCCCCACTGAGCAGAGGAGTGTAACAGAGAGACGACTTTCTGTCTCAGGTCCGCTCCTCTGCTCAGTGGGTGGGATTTCAGTAGCCAACCTGCTATAGGTTATTTCAAAATTAAAATAGCTAATAGCAGTCTGGCTATTGCTCATGGCTGCTTACATCCACCTGTCGCCTGCAGAAACTAGCTGGCAGGAGAATGGGGCTATGCTGGGGGTAGGGATTGGGGGTTGCACCATGGTAGAGGGGCTGCAAGTAGCTGGTCTTGCCTAGGGTGCAAAATAATCTAGCACCGGCCCTGGAAATGAGACATGCGGATAAGTTCTGTTCTAAGAAGGTTGTGGTACTATCCTAGAGGCGGAAACATGGCTGCTGACACTCCAGGATGACAGTGGAGCTGAGGGCATCTGCAAGTGATATACTGTATGTCTATATCAAACTGTGACAAGACAAAATTGTTGGGAAGTTGGGTGGTGCATACACATTGAACCTTCAGCTGAGGTCTGTAACCAGCTTTATGCCTTCCGAGTTAGGTCTCCAGGTCAATTATCTACACAGGTTAGGGCCTGGCATTCCGGGTCTTGAGTTTGACGGGAGGCAGTCCTGATTAAGAGTGACAGGAGGCCAAAGGTCACATCCTTCATCAATTTTGGTACATTGAGGCAGCTGGTTTGGGGCCCGACCGTCACACATTTCCAAACTTAGACACCAGTAGACAAGAAAGGGCATTCATGTTCCTGGTAACAAGTCACAATGTTCCCATCCTAGAGAAGCATTTGGTGTCAGAATGAGCCCAAGGGGTTAAGGAGTGGACAAGGACAGGTGTCAGGTGTGGCCAAAACTGGTGACTCCTCATCTGATGTTAAACTAAAGACGGCAGGACGTGTTGTCAGACTGATAATATAATGACTAGACACCAGCCAGCTGACAAATGTCCCTTTGCAGAACTTGGATGGTAATAGAAGTTCTGCCTTGGCTACACACCAGATGAACCTTTCACTTTGTTTAGTACGTGCAGAGACTTATGGGTTGTAATGTTAATATGACAGCTTGGTAGGACGTGCCAAACATTTTTGGTAAGGGTTAATGTGCTGATATGTGTGCTGACAACTGTGCGGCCATGTTCAAATGTCACTCAATTCCATTGCAGGCCCCTCGTCAAAGTTCATGGAACATTCTTCGTGAAAGGTTCAGTCAGAAATGGATTAACATCAACACAACCGTCTCGCTGCTGAAGAGAGGGGTCAAAGGGACAGCTCTGTCCTTAGCTTTCTGTTATTGTAAAAGTGGAACCGGCCTGCGTGGTCAACTAGCTATCCTGTAGGAGCCGAGCTGTAACTGGTGGGGCCCATAGCAAAACCACTATGAGATACCTCTGTCTCTGTAATCTCCATCTCATTACATACATCCCCATATTTCCCTCTTGAAGAGGGATAAGTGACAGAATCTCTTTAAAGCCCCTCACCCATTTGTAGCCTTCTTCATACTTCTCCTTTCTGATTTCCATCTGCTGCAAAATACCCAGGTATGGGGGAGCATGTGACCTACCCCTACCATGCAGTGCTCAAGGATTGTGGCATGGCCAACCATTGTAACATGACGCAGTATCATTAACCCTTTGTGAGCTCTCTCATCATCCGACATGGAGATTATGCAACTGAAATGGAAGAAGGTGGTGGGCTGGTATGGTGGTGGGCTGAGATGGAAGAAGGTGGTAGGCTGAGTTGGAAGAAGGTGGTTGGCTGGTATGGTGGTGGGCTAAGATGGAAGAAGGTGGTGGGCTGAGATGGAAGTAGGTGGTGGGCTGGTATGGTGGGTGGTGGGCGGAGATGGAAGAAGGTGGGGGGCTGAGATGGAAGAAGGTGGTGGGCTGGTATGGAAAAAGGTGGTGGGCTGAGAAGGAAGAAGGAGGTGGGCTGGTATGGTGGTGGGCTGAGAAGGAAGAAGGAGGTGGGCTGGTATGGTGGTGGGCTGAGATGGAAGAAGGTGGTGGGCTGGTATGATGGTGGGATGAGATGGAAGAAGGTGGTAGGCTGACATGGAAGAAGGTGGTGAGCGGAGAAGGAAGTAGGTGGTGGGCTGGTATGATGGGGCTGAGATTGAAGAAGGTGATAGGCTGGTATGGTTGTGGGCAGAGATGGAAGAAGGTGGTGGGTGGAGATGGAAGAAGGTGGTGGGCTGGTATGGTGGTGGGCTGAGAAGGAAGAAGGTGGTAGGCTTAGATGGAAGAAGGTGGTGAGCGGAGAAGGAAGAAGGTGGTGTGCTGGTATGGTGGTAGGTGGAGAAGGAAGAAGGTGGTGGGTTGAGAAGGACGAAGAAGGTGGGCTGAGATGGAAGAAGGTGGTGGGCTGGTATGGTGGTGGGTTGAGATGGAAGAAGGTGGTGGGCTGAGATGGAAGAAGGTGGTAGGCTGGTATGGTGTTGGTCTGAGATGGAAGAAGGTGGCAGGTTGGTATTGTGGTGGGCTGAGATGGAAGAAGGTGGTGGGAAAGGGATGGAGCTGGTGTTGTACTACTATGGAACCCTCAAGTAAAGAGTAGTCAGCTCTCCATTCTACCATTACCAATAAAAACTGATATACAATCATCTCCATAGCACACAGAAGTAAGGACAATCACACCGCCATTTACCTGTGTGACCATTATTGGCGAGGGTGAAGGTGGAGTCATCAGGAGTTCTGTATCCGACTGGCTGTATAGGGGGTAAGGAACCGTCATGGACCGCATTCCATGTCTTAAGGTTGATTGGAGATTGAGAAGTTCCACCACAGTCGGGGAAGGAATCTGGCCAATGTTCCTGGCCGTGGTCACCTGTGACAGAAGGTAAAGACAATGCTGATCACTTATTCAAGAGGACCATGGACAGCCCCTTCAAGGACTGCATGAAGGTGTACAAGGAGGACTTAAGAGTTGTCACGAGAGGGAATGTTCTCCAACTGGGACAACTCTGCAAGTGTACCTGTATCTCCCGACTTGCCGAACAGAATAACAAAGCTTTGGGCAGGTAAACAGTTCATACGCTGTAGGTCCCAACTGCATTTTGAGCCGTTTGAGCTTCCAGCCCCATTGAGTCATACCCGTCCCTATCAGGAGGATGTGTCTGCCAATGAGGCAATTGCATTGTGTGTTATCTCCCTTCGTCTCAAAAGGCATAACAGCTGCGGGAATCAACAGATAAAGTCTCAACACCCGGCAGGTGCAAGCGCAACTTTCGCCATTCCAAAGCCTGACACGTACAGCAGATATATATCTAGCAGATGAGGCAACGCGGCTGAGTGCAGGACGCTCTGTGTCCCTGCTGGGGAGACTCACTCTTTCTTCTTGTCCTGGTGACCACCGTGACTAGGGCAGAAAGTTTTACATTTTGGGTTGTCACCAGAACAGGAAGGGAGGGGAAATCTTCCGATGGGGACACATGGTCAGGTGACCACCATCTAAGAGGGCATTTGTTAAAAAGAATACGCGACTTTAATAAACAATGTGTTTTTTTTTGGAATGGGAAACCTTTCAGGACTCCAAATTGGAGGAGCAGACTGAATACCAATGCCGAGATCTCATTTTCTAAATGCCTTTGCCCTGGCACTCCTGGAGAACCGCCGGCAATAAAAGTTGTCACTGCATTCATCACTCTCGCTTTCATGACCTCACAGGATGGATTTACGGGGCCCCTCAGTCTGCATTGTGTGCGATGACGTTCAATTGGAGGAAATTAACAATTTAAAGGAACACTCCTATTTGCATTTCAATTAACCTTCTTTCTCTATGTTAATGTGCAGCCGGAAAACAAAGCTCAATGATATCGCCGGCCTGAGAATTTAATTTCTGCTGTCTGCTGCCTGATCCAGAAACGGTTCACCTCCACAAGGGTGTCCTAAAAATAGGCCGGCACCAGAAATAGTCACCGCAGACCACGTGGTGAGAAGCCAGATAGGAAGACACGGGGGAGATCGTGGCAAGTGCTATACCAAGGGAATACAGCTTTAAGAGAAGCTGGCAGGATGTTGATAAGGAACCTACCACTTCCAACGTGATTGTAAAAGTGCATGCTCCATGTTTTTATATTTAAAGGGACATTCCACCCAGAGGAGTTAAACCATCTGACAGACTCTTCTATATACCCGCTGTGCCCATTATGAGGGGCTCTCGCCATCCCTGTGCTGAGTTCCCGGGTCTGTACACCCGATGTGCCCATTATGAGGAGCTCCCACCATCCCTGTGCTGAGTTCCCGGGTCTATACACCTGCTGTGCCCATTATGAGGGGCCCCCAGCATCCCTGTGCTGAGTTCCCGGGTCTGTACACCAGCTGTGCCCATTATGAGGGGCCCCCAACATCCCTGAGCTGAGCTCCCGGGTCTGTACACCCGCTGTGCCCACTAGGAGGGGTCCCCACCATACCAGAGTTCCCAAGTCTATGTGGGTTAAATGCAGGTCAGAAGGTCAACTGCAAGTCAAGTGCACCTTTCAATTAATTTCAGAAATCCCCCTGGGGCAGAGACCTCACCATCTTATTGTAGAGAGGACTGACCCTTTAAGCATAACCACCCAAGTGTCAAAGGACAAAGGAAATCATCATCTTACCTGTGTAGGTCCATGAGGCTCCTGAAACAAAAGGAGACAAAAATATCTGTTAGCCAACAGCATTGACTGTATCAAAAACATGTGAAGGTTCTCATTCACCCAGGTCATGGTATATCAGTAGAAGGTTCTCATTCACCCAGATCATGGTATATCTGTAGAAGGTTCTCATTCATCCAGGTCATGTTATATCTGTAGAAGGTTCTCATTCACCCAGGTCATGGTATATCAGTAGAATGTTCTCATTCACCCAGGTCATGTTATATCTGTAGAAGGTTCTCAGTCACTCATGTCATGGTATATCTGTAGACTGTTCTCATTCACTCATGTCATGTTATATCTGTAGAAGGTTCTCATTCACCGAGGTCATGGTATATCTGTAGAAGGTTCTCATTCACTCATGTCATGGTATATCTGTAGAAGGTTCTCATTCACCCAGGTCATGGTATATCAGTAGAAGGTTCTCATTCACCCAGGTCATGGTATATCAGTAGAAGGTTCTCATTCACCCAGGTCATGGTATATCAGTAGAAGGTTCTCATTCACCCAGGTCATGGTATATCAGTAGAAGGTTCTCATTCACCCAGGTCATGGTATATCAGTAGAAGGTTCTCATTCACCCAGGTCATGGTATATCAGTAGAAGGTTCTCATTCACACAGGTCATGGTATATCAGTAGAAGGTTCTCATTCACCCAGGTCATGGTATATCAGTAGAAGGTTCTCATTCACTCATGTCATGGTATATCTGCAGAAGGTTCTCATTCATCCAGGTCATGGTATATCAGTAGAAGGTTCTCATTCACCCAGATCATGGTATATCTGTAGAAGGTTCTCAGTCACTCAGGTCATGGTATATCTGTAGAAGGTTCTCATTCACCCAGGTCATGTTATATCTGTAGAAGGTTCTCATTCACCCAGGTCATGGTATATCAGTAGAAGGTTCTCATTCACCCAGGTCATGGTATATCAGTAGAAGGTTCTCATTCACCCAGGTCATGGTATATCAGTAGAAGGTTCTCATTCACCCAGGTCATGGTATATCAGTAGAAGGTTCTCATTCACCCAGGTCATGGTATATCAGTAGAAGGTTCTCATTCACACAGGTCATGGTATATCAGTAGAAGGTTCTCATTCACTCATGTCATGGTATATCTGCAGAAGGTTCTCATTCATCCAGGTCATGGTATATCTGTAGAAGGTTCTCATTCACTCATGTCATGGTATATCTGCAGAAGGTTCTCATTCACCCAGGTCATGGTATATCAGTAGAAGGTTCTCATTCACTCATGTCATGTTATATCTGTAGAAGGTTCTCATTCACCCAGGTCATGGTATATCAGTAAAATTTTCTCATTCACCCAGGTCATGTTATATCTGTAGACTGTTCTCATTCACTCATGTCATGCTATATCTGTAGAAGGTTCTCATTCACCCAGGTCATGGTATATCTGTAGAAGGTTCTCATTCACCCAGGTCATGGTATATCTGTAGACTGTTCTCATTCACCCAGGTCATGGTATATCTGTAGAAGCTTCTCATTCATCCAGGTCATGTTATATCTGTAGAAGGTTCTCATTCATCCAGGTCATGGTATATCTGTGGAAGCTTCTCATTCACCCAGGTCATGTTATATCTCTAGAAGGTTCTCATTCATCCAGGTCATGGTATATCAGTAGAAGGTTCTCATTCATCCAGGTCATGGTATATCTGTAGAAGGTTCTCATTCACCCAGGTCATGGTATATCTGTAGAAGGTCCCCATTCACCCAGGTCATGGTATATCTGTGGAAGGTCCCCATTCACCCAGGTCATGGTATACCTGTAGAAGGTTCTCATCACCCAGGTCATGGTATATCTGCAGAAGGTTCTCATTCACCCAGGTCATCCATAGCAGCTCCTTCATCAGGAACCTTTAGCCGGGTCAATGGGAATACAGAAGTGTGGTACATTCTGACCACTTTCTGACCTCCAGATCCGGAGTCCTCTAGTTGGATATCATGGATGGAACCATGACTAAGTCACATATAGTAACGTGTACCCACAGCACATTGTCCACTCCGATAAAGATCTATCACAACAATCTGCAATGTTCCGGCGCTCCTGATCAGCTCCATGCCTGATGAAGGAGCCGATGAGGAGCTTGGAAACGTGGTTGCTGTATTTGTATGAGGATCCTTCTAGGAGTGGGCGATGTGCCGGTGACACACGTTCCTCTTGTGGTATGAACATCTCATGGTACAAATTCCTTCCAACGTAAGAATGCAGCAAAAGATAAGACAGAAGAGAAGGAATATAAATAGTAAGATGATAAAATGTGACAACAGGAAGTCAGAGAAAAAGCAACTTTCACTTGTTCCTGAACACGTGTCCCCCCCAATGTGAGACTTCCGGTGTAACATTTTTAGGTTTCCCATCACTTCCTATCCCATTGAGATCGATCGCCGGGACAGATAGAGGGAGTCAATCTCCCCAAATGGGATAGAAGCCAGAAAAACCTGACAGGGGGGTCTAACACTTCGCTGCATCCAATGGGAAAGATTTGGCATCAGATACAATGTATTGTGGGCGTGGCAGACAGACAATCCGTGACATTGAAGGGGAAGAGGTCGGAGAACAGAAATGATAGGATGATATCTGCCGAAGTTCATCAAATATCTGCTGTGATATCTACTTCCTTTTGGGTCATTTGTGGCCGTGTATGAACCTCAGCACTTCCTGTTATATACCTGAGTGACAGCGTGGGAATCTCTGGGGCTCCCGTGGCCTGTCAATCATACATCAGGGGGATTGAATTAAAGGGATCAATGATGTGACATGTTTTAGTTTGCTGAGAAATGATGGAATTTGAGTCCAGCCGATCACCCTGCATATGTCTGTGTGACTGACTGAAAGAGTTTGCTTCACCCTCCCTGTAGTCACATGTACATAAGTCAGTTGCAGTGTGGTGTCAGTGGGGATGTCAGTTGGGTGTCAGTTGCAGTGGGATGTCCGTTGCAGTGGGGTGTCCGTTGCCATGTGGTATCAGCGGGTTGTCAGTTGGGTGTCAGTTGCAGTGGGGTGTCAGTTGCAGTGGGGTGTCAGTGTGGTGTCAGTGGGGGTGTCAGTGTGGAGTCGGTGGGGGTGTCAGTTGCCGTGTGGTATCAGCGGGTTGTCAGTTGCGTGTCAGTTGCAGTGGGGTGTCAGATGCAGTGGGGTGTCAGTGGGGGTGTCAGAGTGGAGTCGGTCGGGGTGTCAGTGTGGTATCAGCGGATTGTTAGTTGCAGTGTTGTGTCGGTGGGGTGTCAGTTGCAGTGGGGTGTCAGTGGGGTGTCAGATGCAGTGTGTTGTCAGATGCAGTGTGTTGCCAGTGGGGTGTCAGTTGCAGTGGGCTGTCAGATGCAGTGTGGTGTCAGTTGCAGTGTGGTGTCAGATGCAGTGTGGTGTCAGTGGGGTGTCAGTTGCAGTGTGGTGTCAGTGGGGGGTCAGTTGCAGTGGGGGGCCAGTTGCAGTGG